CAAGCGACTGGAATTGTGTGGGGAAGGAAAATGGCACTTTACTCGATGTCGCTTTGAAGTTTGTTAATGTCTCTGGACTCAACTCGTGGAACACTATCAACCTCTTTGATCCACTCAGAAATGTTAATTCCGAGAAGAATGTGAACCAGTCGATGTGTTCTGAAGAAGACAAGTGTGACTTCCAAGTGCATAACCAAATGGGGTTGAATGCACTTGACATCTTAGTTAAAATAGCACTGAATTTAACAGTGAATGGGAGTGTTGTGAGTTCGAATGGAGAGACTTTAAGACAAGACTTGGGTGTTGCAGTTGCACTGAAGTACAATGAGATAGATAGTCGATTCCAACTTGTTGTCGACTTGAACAAGTTCCAAAACTTCTCGGAGAGCATGATGGTCAATGGAGAGTGCTGGAAAGGACTTATGGAGAATGGGACGGGGATACCAACAATCAAAGTCGATACTGCGCTCGACAGCTTTAAGGTCACTGCGGAATCTGTAGACATCCATGAAGGCATACAAACGGTGATCAATGCGCTTTCTGATATTGTTGTGTACACATACAAAGATACGTTCCCCGTACTGGCAAATGGATTTGCAAATGAAGTGGTGAGGACGTCGATGAATGAAGGTATTGAGAATGCGACGATAGAAGAGTGTGACTACATTGTCGACCCCCCATTCATGTCTTTTGACCACGAATTTGTATTGATTGGTGTGATAGTCTCTGTGATTCTTGGGTTGATTTTCTGCGCCATTGCGATTGGGTTTCTGTTTGTGAGGAAGAGAGAGATGAAGAAAAAGGCTGAGGAGTTACAGAGGACTGGAGGAGTCCTGCTTTCTCCGGAACAAGTGAGTGTCTTATCGAACGAGACGGGGGTTGAAAAGAATGAAGGTGATGCGCTTATACATGAAGGAGAGGATGAGAAGTCTCTATGGAAAAAGATGAGTGAAAAAGTTGTGTGGTTCTTCAAACAGTACATTCGAACGGATCATGAAGGAGTGAGTATGTTCTTAGATGACCGAATATCGATAATAATCAGAGTGATCGTGCCTCTGGTTATCTTCTTGACGTTTGCGGTGTTTATTACGGACAAGACGGGTATTGGGTGTGCGGTGCGCGTGTTTGTGTTGTTTGGGAATAATAACAAGATCAATGCATTGGTGTCGTCCTATGGTCTTATGGACACGGTGACGAATATGTGGCATGCGGGGATCTACCCCCTGGCTATTCTCATTCTGTTGTTCTCATGTATATGGCCATACACCAAATTGATATTGTTATTCTTCACGTGGACGACCCCACCTACTATTATGAGTACTAAAGTGAGGTATCGAATACTGTATGTTCTTGATGCGTTGGGGAAGTGGTCATTTCTGGACTCGTACGTCATGACCCTGATGGTTGTCAGCTTCTATTTTAATGTTCCCTTGCCGATATACCATCCTGAGAATGTCACCACCCCTATGAAGATACAACTGTGGGTCGATCCGGAGTTCTGCTTTACTGCATTGGTAGCAGGTACTATTGTCACGTTGTTATTGTCACATGTTATGTTGTATATTCATGAAGATATATTGAGCAGTAAGACAGACAATATTGGGAGTGAGGCGGTACACAAGAGACCGTTGTTCATGTACAGTCGATTTATATTTGTCAGGATCTTAGTTGTAGTTCTTATCATCATATCAATGATACTTGTGATAGTTGGGATGTTACTCAATTCGTTTTCATTTGACTTCATGGGGATGACCGGGTGGGCGCTCGACTTGTTGAATTATCCGCAACACCGCATATTCTCGATTATGGACTTGGGGATTCAATTACCGGGCGACACAAGAGAGCCAAACAGTTTTGTGGTGAGGTTCATTCAAGTGACATATTTTGTCACGATTGTAGCGATCCCACTGCTCCATATGATCATGATGTTATTCTTGTGGGTTACTCCTATGACCCGAAAGGTCCAATTTTATGTGTTAAAGATGTGTCAAATATTGTATGCATGGTCGTGTATTGATGTATTCATTATTTCAGTGATTGCAGCAGTGGTACAACTGTCACAATTTGCTGCATTTATGGTGGAACCGTTTTGTGGGAAAACTATACCAGCGATTGGGATGAGCTTTGATGAACTGATTGGGAAGTATCTGGGGGATAAAAAGTATGTGAAAGGGCATGAAACATGCTTTGAAGTGATGGCCGTATTAACTTCGGGATGCTGGACATTGTTTGCTGGTGTTATTGTATATACAGTTGCCTCCTTGTTCATCACAAAAATATCAAAGAAGGCACTTGACAAACGGTTGCCAACGCAGGAAGAAATCGACCGATACAAAGCAGAAAGAAGAGAAGAAGACAAATTGCCACTCCTCGAAGGAACTGTTTAAATTGAGTGAAAGGTATTTCAGTATTTACACTAGTGAACAATTAACTATTTATTTAATTATTTTAACTATTGGGATATAATAACTCTTTTAATTAATTGTTTAATATTATTTCATATTCTACTTTTTAATATAAATGTCATGTTAAATGATATTATATATAACATTTAACTTTTAAAATAATAGAAAATCTTCAATAAAAAATATATGATGTGTAGTCTTTTTTTCCTAAGATTTTATTTAACACAAACCATTTTGTGAACCGACTGAAATAAACAGTGGTTAAAAAATAATTATCATTTGTACCATAATCTTTTGTATTATTTTAACTGATGAATTTGCCAAGGAGTTATGAAATATAAACTGATTTGATAATTTACCACACCTCATATTTTTTATTCTGAATATTAATCCACTTATATTTATGTTGATTAACACTGAGTCACAATATCAGCACAGACATGTTATCATTTTAACATTCTTTAACTTTTTTTAATAACTGGAAACTATATATATAATATAGTTAAATTGAAATGTGGACTACACAGTCAAAAATCTATATCTTTCCATTAACAACAATTACACATTTTCAATTAAGATATTTAAATAAAAATACTAAATAATAAATAACTAAATGGCTAAAACAGAACGTACTACACTCGAGCCAATATTCTTAATGAATGTTGTATTGTACATCACACAATCTGATGTTGAAAATTTTGTTTTGGTGAGTCACAAATGTTGTGATGCTTTGGACAGACTTCACGTCAATCCATGGTCCAGCGAATCAGAGAAGTCCGAAGCTGTTGTAAAGAAAATTTTGAAGTACTTTCCCAAACTCCAGACATTACAAATTGACCCAAAGACTGCTAATACACTTTCCGACGAAACACTAGCTAATATTCCTCGAATCAGAATAGTATATACTAACAACAAACAATCGCATATTAAAAATGCCAAAGTGAAAGAACTGAGCGACACTGTATACACAATCGACTCGAAGAAATTGGAAACACCTAATGTCTATGTGGTGAGAGCGTTTTTTGATGATTTCACAGAGTTGACAAATTTAGTGCAATTTATCGAAGAATATCCCAACATCGAGTTTATCGAAATCATGTGCTACAGTTTCGAACAAATCAAAAACCCCATTCAAAAGCTCTTGAAACGTGGCGGCATCAAAATTCATGTGAAATTTGAAGTTAGTAATTTTACCATGTACGACCATTTCGAGGCTTTTAGAAAAGAGGTCGGCACTACTAACATTTATTACAGCTTTAATGCAATCTTCACTAATGGAACTTATTTACTTGTACCTCCAGATGTCGTTGCAAAAGACTTACACGGCATTTTCTATGGGGATGGGGAAATGGCACACAAATTGTACGCCATCAAAGAAGCGCGAATTAGTGTGTCTGATTATTGTAATGCTGACTTAAGAGGACTGACTTGTTTGACATTGTTAGAAATCTATTGTTATAATAAAGTTACTTTGAACCTTCCGACTTCTTTGATTGAGTTGAATCTCTCATCCAAAATCAACGTTGCCAATTTCAGCGATTTAAAATGTCTGAAAAAAGTGAACAAAAACGAGTTTGTACAAGGTAAACAGCTCCACGAATACACACTACCAAGTTATGATAACAGTTATGATTCTGATTATAGTGATGATTATGATTCTGATGATTCTGATCATGATTCAGAATAAAATCTGTAATAATAATAAATATTATTACAATAGTAAAAATTATTATTTGAAATTTTGCTTTTTTTATAATTATACAATAGTTTAAATTTAATATAATTAACCATTTCAACTTTGGTTGCAAGTTGTTAAGTATATAGTATTTTTAATTAAAGTAGTTTATTCTATCTATATAGTAAAATAATAATTATATTATTTGTTGATTATAATATAGTTTTATTGTAGTTTGATAATAATTTTATTTTTAACAAACTTTTAATAATAAACAAATAAATATTTGATAGTCATTCCAAAAATAAAACATATGATAAAAAGAAAAACTATATGTAATGGTTTTTAAAAAGTTAAAAAGTACAATCAAAAAAAAATGATTTGGTAGATTGTGGTGATGGAACGAAGAATGCCAGAAAGATATAAGAGGCGTGAAAAAAAAGAATAATCAATTCATAATGGATCAACTGAACATCCACGACTCGTTCTATTACCAATTCGAGCTGCTCAAGCAGGAGCTGACGAAGTTTCTGAATGACTTTGATGAAAACGTCAGAGATCTTCAGACAAGCCGAAAGAGAATGGAGTTTTCTCGGAGATGGATGCTGACCAACCTCAAAAAGTATAAGGCTGTTTATCTCATGACGCTTGCGGGTATATTCATGTTCTCTATTGCTTTCGAGTGGAAAATGATTTGGGTGATGTTGACTTGGTTGTGTATCTACAACACAATTGAGTCTGTCGATTTTCTGGATAAAAGAGTCGAGTTTGGTGGTATCATCTCGGAGACGATTATGATCGCAATTATAAGCGAGGGTGTTGCTGTCATGCTTGACATTGGTGGTATAGCGCTGTGTGTTGCTATTGGGTCGCTTACATTTTTGGCTTTCCACGCCACAATCACAAGACCAGGAATACCAGAAATGATTAGAAAAAGGTTTGAGAGAAGACAAAAAAGACACAGAAAGGAGGCGGAAGATTTGGTGTTTGAAAGACTCAAACTCGAAAACCAAAAAAGACAGGTCAATCTCCAAATTAAAGAAATCGTCCCCATTATTAAGGCTTCGAAGGAAACAAGACAGAGGTGCAAAACAATTTCTAATAAAATTAAAATGAACGATGAGTTCAAAAACGCCTGCTTGAAAAGGAAACTTGACGAGAAAGAACTCATTGCACAAGTTGTCGACAAGAACGTGTTCAAGAGAGAGTTTGCAAGGATGTGGAAGGTCACACCCCTGAACCGAGTCGACTAGTAACATAATCCATTTGTTTGTTTATTTTTTCTTATTATAATATAATTATATTTTTATTAATAATTTATTGATTAATACAATAATAATCCTATTA